ACTTCAATGAATCATCGTTCCAAATAGAAATGAAAATATAACTTCCATACAGTGATTACTTTCCATAAGAACGGAAACGCTCGACGTGACGAGGGTAGTAATTTCGTTACTCTTATCTTATTTTTGAACCTTTTCCAAAAATTCTTTCACCATTACGTGACTGAGAGTCTCAGTAATCGATTGAGAAAAAGAATTTTCAGTTTATCATTTGAAATGAGCGAGATCTTAGCCCCTTCTCATCTTAGATTTATTTAGAGAAGGAGCCATTTAGTATGTAAAGCAAAATGTATTATACTGCTAAGATCTTCCTCATTTCAAATGATAAACTGAAAATTCTTTTTCTCATTCGATTACTGATATTACTCTGTTCGTCGAGTGTCTGTTCTTATTAAAAGTAACTAACCTGTAGTTTTAAACTTACTCCTCGTCCTGCCTCAAAATCGAAACTCAAGCGATATTGAGCCATGACTCGAAGTCGGCATGGTTAAAATAAGACTTAAACGAAGGTTTTTCAAACTCGCTAAAAGTGATAATCTGTTCAGCACCAGTAGAATAAATTAAAGATATTGCAGAAAAGACTAGAATTAAAAAGCTTTGATAACATAATTTTTTTGCATCAGTTCAACTTAGTCCCTTTATTCTATAAATCTATAAAATGAAGAGGAATAAGTCAACAACGCTCTTTATTTTTTTTTTTGATCTATAGCAACATTTTCTTGATCTGATGAATTATATCTCTTTAACCATATTCTGCATTAGAAATTAGTACAAAATATTCCCTTATTCTGGAGACTCTCCAGGAAAACGTTTTAAAAACCGCAGTACTTTCTGTTGGCTTCTAAAAGTCTTTATTGACCTTTATCGGTTAGCGCAGATAAAGTTGAGTATACGCTGATATTTTCAAGCAGTCTGAAACAACTTTGAATGAGTATGAGTTTTTCTTCGCTGAGAATAATGGATTATTTCGTTTATATAGATTTTCACTAGGTTTTTGAAGCCTTTCCGGTTTAACAATCTATGTCATACACGATCGAAAACGCTTCGGGGCAAGAAGGTTTTGGTTTTGAAAAATATCTCATGAGCATCTCATGCCTTTGGGTGGAATAATTTTCTTTTATTCAAGAAAAATTTGTTACGTATGTCATTTGTAGAGAAAATGAGGATAATAAGGAAAAGTTTGATGAGAAGCGGTTCTGTGGTAACTGACTTCAGCTGATCAAAATCACACACAATCTTATCGAAGATTCTTTCCCCATAAACATATGGTCAAATATGAGCGTCCATCCGTCAAGGTACTGATGCATGAAATTTCATTGGTTCTACTACTTTTAGACTGACTAAACGGCAAATATTTCGTTGAATTAGCGCTGCTTTTATTTCTCTAGATAGACAACGAAAGTGCGGAACGTGTTTAAAGTAAGAGACAAGCGAATGAAGATTGCTTGAACTAAAATCGAGGTAGTTTTGAAGAGATTTGTGCTCGATGTACTGATTATTCAATATAATGAATATCAATTTGATGAGAAATATGTGCTTTTAAGTGAAATAACTCATTTTTGCCTACTTTTGAGTAAAATTAAAAAATTCATAACCCACTCAAGATCCACCCAAATAACGTCAGGATATCAAGCTGTACTCTATTTTACCTGTTCGATACGATGCAGCTCAACAAAAGCTCTAAAAGGTCAACATAAAATACTTAGGTTTTTGAAAAGGTTTCTAGAAATCTTCCGAAATACACCGGAGCAAAACGCTTATGAAAGCTAGTCTTAGATTTCTACTTTCGATCATTGAAAACCGCAAGTCTCTAGTTTTCTTCTGTTAACAGTTATACGAAAAACGAGAACGTGCAGTGTATTTTGCCGCCGTCAATAGTTTAAAACATTTAATAACATAGCATAAAAACATTGTTTTGACGGTAAAACTTCAACAAATGCTGCATAATTTGTATAGGTTATTTACGGAAAGCTTTTAAAATTAAGTATTTTTCACTGGTCAACATATTAAAAAACCTTTCTGTTGTTGCCGTCCTTATTATTTCTTTTTATAATGATGCAGAATTAATATATTATATAAATTAATTATTAAATATATTCGCTCTGTTTTACTCATTCACTGTACAACTTATACATATTAGAAATTATGTGTAAAACACAGTGCGCTCCAACGTGATATATCTGCGCCAGAATTCGAAACTTTTCGACTTTGTTGGTACTATTATGAATAACCCAGTTATGAGCCACTTTTGGTTTTTCAACTAATCTTGACCTTTTACATCCAACAATACGTTGTGCAGCCTGAAATAGAAAAGAAAAATTCAGTAAATAATTTGACGGTAAATCAATAGATAATAATCTCTAAAAATTTAGTATTTTCGTAGTTCATAGCATCAGATTTTTTTTCTATCTCAATATTCATTTCTTCAAGTGACATGCGCTTTGAGCACATTTTTTTCGATAACTCACAACATTTATTTCGTTTGAATTTTTGTATTCGATTATTTTTCGAATCAGCCACGTATAAATTTCCGACCGAATCAAATGCCATTCCAGTTGGTTCGTTCAATTGATTAGGTTTATTACCACGACCGTTACCTTTCAAAAAAGTAATCATCAATTTGTGACCAATGTACCTACTCTTCTTCCGATATACAATGAAGATCTGTCCCATCTACCACTGTCTAGAAGATCCCTTGGGACGAATGAATGAAAAAATAAAGACAAGCAGGCAACATGGTGGTAGGCTGTAGCGCCTCTGGTAAGCTACCACTTCACTCGTGGAGCACCGGCGTGATCATGCATTTTTGCCCTCGATTTCTTCATCTCGAACTCGTCTTCTCTCAGATAGTTGCTGTGGCTAAGGTGATGGACCGAACATTTAAAAGAAGATCAAGGGTCTTTATCGATTTGATCAAGAGTGCCTGTGTTGATGCACATCCTGAACAATTTCAAACTGTGGTCGATGTTTGTTTCAAGTTCAAGTTTCAAGTTACAAGGACACTGTGATATGCCAGGATATGACTCATTTGTCTTCATTTGACTCAGCTGTTGCGAAAAGATCATCTGTTTTGATCATCTCGTCGTCAACCACTACACTCATTGATACGAAAAGTAGACGATGAAATATTTTTAATGCATGCTCTGTCGTTTTGCTCGACTTTACTAATTACCTTAGAAAAATAAACATCCTACGCAAAGAAGGAAAATTTTTTTATCATACATCAGCAAAGAGCGAACTAACGCATGTCATCCTTACCTATATATGACAAAAGTAGAAGTCCTCACTCAAAATGTTAGCTCGGTCTAAGCTTCCGCCACATGCAGAATGCAATTGCCTAAATCGAGCGTCAGTTTAATGTTTTGACACTTTTATATTTCGAAGGGTCATTAAGTTGTAAAACTCAGATGATTATGAACAATACGACTACTAGCTGCAGTGAAAATATCAGGTCAATTCGATCCCTTTTGACGGAGAGATCACAAAATCCCCTATGCGGTGAAAAGCGATTTATCAACAAATGATTTTCACATCAGATGATGAATTTGAGGCACTTCTCTAAATAGGATCGAAGAAATGTTTCAGATATGAGTGGCAATTGTTTTGGTAGAAAGTGTTATTTCAGTATTTACTACGTTTTTCAGCTAGTTAAGAACTTATTTGGGAAGTAATTTTGAACTTCAAAAAAATCAATCAGGAAACTTCGTTGAGATTTATGCTAGTTGTTTCATTTGAAACATAGAGGACTGGCATAATTCTGCTTGCAACAGAATTTTGTTCGGAGTTAGCTTCTCGGCAAAGTTGGATACTTGTTTATAATAATTGTTGGATAACTGTTTTGAAAATTAAGAAGTTTTGCATGCTTGTGAATTTTCATATGCCTCAGTTTTTCGGTAACTTTGCAGTTTTCGCTAGTTTGCCGTTTTTGGTATTTCTGGGATGTTTGATATTTTGGTATTCTTGGTACTTTTGGTAGACGAATTGATTTGACTAATAATGCTTTATTTGTACATGGCCATCATGACATCACGGGAGACTCATCATGGATACAGGAGTACAGTGAGGCATAAGCAAATTTTTAAAAGACATAGCATGACTAGAGTGAAAGTCTTATCAAGATATTGCCGCCATACAGAACTCAGCTCATTATCTTTCACTAAAAGCGTAGTGATCGCTATCGTCTACATTCGCTGGTAAAGGGACCGGTCTGGTTTGTGAACATCTACAATTTACACAATAACTAGATGTTTAGATATTCTGATATTCAAATGTTAGATATTCAGTTGTTACGATCTTCGGTTCTTCTCACTCACTCTCATCTTCCCGCTAGATATCCCTGATATTATGTGAATTGCAGATGTGCACAAATCAGATCCTACTGAGCACACATTACAAAACACCAAACATCCTCAAAACTACCAAAACTACCAAAAATACCAAAATTCCGTGAAATATCAAGCCGACGTCAAACTGAAATGTTCCATTTCATGCTGAGTATCGAAAACGAGAGCAGTGCCTGTCGGTTATAAAATGAACCAGGCACTACAAGTTGTACTGAATCGTCAACTTTGAACCAAACATAACTCAAACGTTGGGTCTTAAACTGATTTTTAGCAAAAACCTACGTTTTTTGGAAAGTTATGTTCGACGCATCTATTGATATTAACCAAAGACATGTCATTTTAACTATTCAGAAATAAAACGCAATTTACTGTTTCACTTTATCGTTTTCTTAGCGTTGGTGACTCTTCTTCTTTTCTGAGTTCTGCCACAATATGAGTTTTTTTTTCTTCGATTTATCATGAATTTCGTAGAGAATTTCAAGTTTTAAAAGCGCACGTAACCGTAATTTACGTAAATTGCCTTAAACTCGATTGCTTTTGTAGTCGAAAACCAGTTATTATAACGACTAATGGGTAATAATTTAAAAATAAAAAGTATAGTAACTGCAGCAGTATTAAATATCATTACTAAGTTTTATTAATATTCAACGTTTCAAACTATGCCAGTTCGAAAACTAAGCAGACGACAATTTTTTTCTCTTGTTCAGCAAAAATTCTCTTACCTCCAGCAATTGTTTCTCCCATTCGTGAATTTACTGAAAAACGTTGTATTCGATGATTTCCTTGATCAACAACATATATATTGTGTGTACAATCAAGCTTAACAGTCACAGGTGAATCTAATGACCATTTGTCTGATCCTTGTTGTCCGGTTCCAGCTACCGTTATTCCATCTCGCTTCTTACCGTCGTTCAATTTGAATTTTTGTATCCGATGATTAGACCAATCCGTAACGTATAATATATCATTCTCTTCATCAACAGCAATACCAAATGGAGTAGAATGATTTCCAATGACTAGAGTACCAGTCGTCATATTTGGTGAAAATTTTAGTATTCTGTCATGTATTGCATCTGATACGTATAAATTATTACTTCGATCAACATATAGTCCATGGCACTCACCAAACGAATTCATTGTTGAGTTTTCATAACCTGTCCCAGCAACAGTCATCATTCTGCCATTGGGTGATATTTTTTTGATCAGAAAGCTTTTTTGATCAACAACGTATAAATCATTTTTTTCCCCCATAAACAGATGAGTTGGATAAATTAATTGTTCTTCTTTTCGAAAACCACCACCGATGATCGTACCCGTTTTACTGCCGTTTATGAATCTTACTACACGTTGATTTTTTGTGTCAGCTACATAGAGTCTGTCTTTATCATCGATTAAGATATCCATCGGTGTATTTAAGTCATAGATGTTATGTTCAGAAAGACCAGTGCCAGCCACGGCTATACCTTCTGGATTCCAGCATTCTTGAAGTTTTACTATAGAAAGA